ACCATGGGATATCAATTTATACAAATTAGTAGATTTTCGACTTATCCGTAGAATAAAATCCTATGTGCAGGACTGCTTATTCTCAGGACACTACATTTTGTTCGTTGTTCTTCGCTGTGGATATCAGATCGATCGTTGTTCGACTTGATATTTCCAAAATGAAATAAGATATAGAAAGTCTGATAAACACCTATAGCTAGGCCTTGGTTTGAATGATGATATTATATATTTATCATCTTTTCGCTGTATGGATGGCCCTTATTTCGTCTCTATTTCTGGTTATATACTCGACGCGTGTGGCTTACTATAAAAATATATTAATATCATTGCAGTAAAAAATATCATGATATTCAATAAGATATATATATTACAATACCTTATATATTTTGAGTTTCAAAGGTAGAAATAGTCGCTATTAGTTAGTACACAATAAAACATTTACCCAATCTAATGCTTCTCAATCGATATAAATTGATATCGACATTCCAGTGAACGGTACATTACTCTCCCCGAAAAAGTAAAAAAGAAAAGAAAATAGCTTCGACATTTATCCGAAATAAAATCGTGTTTGCTTAGGCTATAATATTATATATAAATATAAATAAAAATATGTGAAGTATTAGAAACCATGACCAATCATTAGCTAGATTTCATAGTGTTTTTTTAACATTATGATAGTGTGTGGTTTGGCGACAGCGGTTCTGATACTAATTAAGGTTTAAGGCCCTTCCACTGTTTTTTTCCTCCGTGTCAAAATTAGTACACGTGTCTTGAGTGCTACAAATTCAGAATTGAACAGGCGGGAGTTACACTAGTTGTCTTATTATTGTATTATGGTTTCTGGTTCAATCTAGTGGGACTAATTTGAGAAATTAACAAATTTCTATTGACGTATAGATGATTATGATCATGATTTTGTGGAACAGAGTGAACGTTCCGAAAAGTAGGTGAGAAGTAAAACACAACAGAAAAGGAAAACAAATTTGTTTTGCTATTAAACAAACGTGACAAATATTTATAAGTCAAATAGAATCATCTACCTTGGAATAATGCTATTTCTAAGGTAATAGATTTGTTTGTTGTGTCCTTATCCTTTCATCACCATCAATATTTCAGCCGAAAGACGTCCACCGCTGGGTATCGACCTTTCTTAAACACCGCCACAAATCATAACTTACCCACCACAACCAGTTTGTCAAGATTGTCTGGTTGTCGGCTAGCAATATGACCAAAATACGGTAAGATTCTCTGGTAGCATATTGTGGCAAGTCTGTCTGCGATATGAAGCTGCTCAATTATGGATTGGTTTGTCCTTCTATTTTTTTGCGTTCTGATGCTCGATTCGTCCACGACTATGAGCCATATAGGAACATCGAGAAAACCAATGTCCGGACTGCGTTAGATAAAGGGAAGTTAACGAATAGAGCACTGTCTAGTGCTATGTCACGTTATCTAGCGCAATCTTCCTATCTCACCGTCTTGTGCTAATTAAGACCCAGTGGCTTCCTTTACAACGCTAATTACAGCAACTAATTGTGACACTGTCGTCGGAGCCTTTATTATAAAATGATTTCACGACGCTCTGTACGTTTTGCGCTATAATTAAATAGTTATTCGTTCGCCGTTTTTCTCCCAGTTACAAAAACGGATACCGTACGCTGCCGGCCGCTTACTAAAACACGGCTGTGATAAAGAATATTTTGAGATATCATAAAAGAACCATCTGTAGCAGTTGAGCTTCTTGTGAAACTGCCATCTTACCTATGCCATCTTACAAGCAGCAATGTAAGCATCACGGTGTTCCAGTTTTGAAGGGCAAGGGTGCTTGCTGGTGAAATTACAGGCATAACTTGTCAACTTATGTCCCAGAGCAGTGCTCCGTTACTCACTCAAGGTTGCGCGATAAGTGCACCGACGTCGGCGCTCTTACAAGTCTTTCATTTACGAGCATTTGGTTCCGCACGACTGCACACAGCGGGGAATGTTATTGTCACATCTTTGAGCGCGTGCTTAGTTTCCTTTTTCCATGTAGTGAGCGCCTGGTGTCATTAGTTAGATTTAGTAGGCTATTATAGCGTAGGTATTTTCGATTTTGTATCAGCGTGATGTAACTGTTACGTAGTAACTATTAAGTTATATGTGTCATAACTAACATAATCGACATTTTTAGCGAAATGAGATCTACAACTTCCTACAAGCGGCTTCCTTTTTTTTTGTATCTTATTTAGTATCAGTTTTATTGCTAAGCAAAATTAGTCTAGTTGACATTTTTCAAATAAAAAAAAAGAACTTTTGGTACCAATATTTAACTGCCTCCGTGGCCGAACGGTTACCATGCCGGACTGCCACGCAGAGGTCTCAGGTTCGATTCCCGGGCCTGGAGAAATATTTGTATGGGGCCTACATTTATTTCTCTCCTGAGTTTGGATGTAATTTGAGGTTGTCTACGTGTGTGCCCATGGCACCCGTGACACAGGGTTTCCTTGGTGAGTGTGTGAGTTATTATTATAAAAAAATATTGGAAGAAAGAAAGAAACGTTGAATCAGCAATATTGACATATACATAGAAAAAATTAAAGATTACAAATACAGGCTGAAATGGATCCAACTCAGCATATGTCACAGCTCGACTGTTGCCTACAGATTTGCCATTATTTGAATTTAGAAATAAGTGCCATATAATAATAATAATAACGCACACACTCAACATAGCCCCGCACTAGGGAAACCCTGTGTCGCGGGTGCCATGGACACACATAGACAACCACAAATTACACCCAAACTCACGAGAGAAATAAATGTAGGCCATACAAATATTTCTCCCGGCCCGGGAATCGAACCTGGGACCTCTGCGTGGCAGTCCGGCATGGTAACCGTTCGGCCACAGAGGCAGTTAATATTCGTAATGAACATTCCCAAATACGTCGAAAATGATACCCATCTGGCATTTATTGGAAAATTCGTGTACTCTATCTTGGATTTAAAAGTAAATGCCATATTTGTAATGAGCACCCCCAAATATCTGAAAAACGATACTCAACTTGCCATTATTTGAAAAATCGTGCCCGCCATCTTGGATTTAGAAATACATGCTATAAATAAAGGCTATATTCGCAATGAGTCAGTAACGAACGACAATGTCGAGCAAACCTGTAGGCACCTTAACGTTGTTTTTCTGTTGAAGCTTTAATATAATGAGATGACACGAAATTACCAAGTAATGTTAGTTAATACTAAAAAATTTTTAAATTAAACTAAAAATAAGTAGGAAAATAACTAACCATAGGAGATTATTATATATTGTATTGTATTGTTTTTATGAAATGAAATACTTGGGAATGTCAGCAAAATACTAATGTTTTAGTGTAAGGAGGATGGTGTTAGCGCATGGAGCTAAAATTTATTCATTGGTACTACTAGAGAATAAATCAATATTGCTAAATTAAACGTAATGCTTGACAAATAGAAAATAAATAGGCACTCCATTAACAGCTGCGCATAGAATAAACCCCGGCGAGTTAATACCAAAGTGTCCGCCAGAGACGCCCGCGAAAGCGTATTACTGGCGGAGTGCTTAGCCCGGACGCCCGCCGTATTCTGGTTTTGTCGTCGAGCCCTTAGTTCATCCGGAGAACTATCTCTCTGGTCGGTAGATACGAATAGTAATTAACGAACAATTTCATTTATTCAAGTAAGTGTTATTATAATAATAACGCACACACTTATTACGCACTAGGGTGAAAAGGTACCATGGACAGACTCATAGATAACGACGTTAATAATTAATACTAATAATAATAATAATTCGTTTATTTGCTTAAAACAAGGATGTTGCAAGAGAGTGCCAGTACAAACATCTTTTCGCATACCTTTAATAAATAGCAAGCAAATGTCTAGTTATATAATGTCGATCAGACTACCACAACTCAATAATACAAAAATGTCATAAACGTGTCAAGTTTTGGTCAATTAATTTGGTCAAGAATGATAATCTTGAAGATAAAATCTTACATCTCATTCTCTGTCAAATATTTCGTTTAGGTCATAAAAATTATTTTTATTTAACCACTTGTACAGCTTTGTTTGAAATAAACTTAAGTGTAATAGTTTAATCTCAAGTGGTATTTTATTATATATGTCGACACACATTTTTAAACAACTTTTACTGCTGTCATAGGAATAGTGTGTGTGTGTGTACAAGTCTATTCGGGTTTCTGCTGAATCTAGTATTCATATCAAAGGCTTTCTTAAACAAATATGTGTGTTTTCGTACAAAGATACAAATTTCGTATATATAATGTGTAGGTAGTGGCAACAGACCAAGGCTCTGAAACAAGGGTCTGCCTGTTTCATCCGGTGGAATTCCACAAATTGCTCTAATGCTCAAACGCTCTGTTTCGATCTGTACTATTACCCCATACTACAAATTACACCCAAACTCACGAGAGCAATAAATGTGGGCCATACAAATATTTCTTCCGCCCGGGAATAGAACCTGGGACCTCTACGTGGCAGTCGAGCATAGTAACCGTTTGTCCACGGAGACAGTTGTATAATAATAGTACTAATACAACAAAAGCAACGGTTCAAAAATTGAAATATTGCTTACGTTAGGTACTTAAAATTGCAACATGCAGGACAAATATGAAAATATAAATAAAAGTAAAAAGACTATTTTTCAACACAAAACATATAACATTTATCAATATGTCCAAGAAAAGGTAAAATTCTCAGTAATTTGTTGGTTTTCAGGCTTCACCAGGAAAGTATTCGCCGCTGGGTACACCGGAGTATATAGTAACGAATGTCTTTACGATTAAATATTACATAAATAAGAGGGTACCTTACTCACTACATAGAATATTTACTACAGAAATAACATTATACTTTAAAGCCTCGAATGACATACGTACTGACCGCCGAACATACTGCACATGTTAGCTGTCTGTCTATTTTGCAGGGTTCCCAGTGTACATAAAATATTAAATAGCCATGTAGTCGTTGTCGATAGATTGTGAAAGAGGGTAAAACTATGCCAGAAATGTCTAAATTATGAAAGTTACGACATTTTGATGATATAATTGCGTTATTGCCTTTTTCATTCTTATTTTCACAGATGGCCTACTACATAGTACCGAAACATCTCTTTTCAAAATAGACAATTCAAGTGAACCTGTGTCCAGCAGTTGGACGAATAAGGGGCCGATGTTGAGTCAAATAAAATAAGTTCGATCAACAATCAGTCGATAGTCGACAAAATATTTATCGACAATACTTCACTTCACGAATTGTCATTTTACTCCATCTTCAAAAAAGATAGACTGTGTAAAATGTTGTTGTTAATTTCATTGTAAACTCGACACATAGGGAATAAAGGGTTGTTGTAGGTCATTGACTTTTGTAGGTAACATAATTAAATACAAAATGGCGCATGAAACTGTTTTCGTGTGTGAATTAAGTTAACGTACCCAATAAAAAAGGTACATAAATTCAATGCCTCCATGGCCGAACGGTTACCATGCCGTTACGCGGAGGTCCCAGGTTCGATTCCCGGGCCGGGAGAAATATTTGTATGGCCTACATTTATTTCTCTCGTGAGTTTGGGTGTAATTTGTGATTGTCTATGTGTGTAACCATGGCACCCGCGACACAGGGTTTCCCTAGTGCGGGGCTATGTTGAGTGTGTGCGTTATTATTAAAAAAAAAAAATGATCACACAAAATTACATACAAATAATATACTGATTACAAATACATTTTTTATTGACCTTATTCTTATAATTCCAGTACTTCGAGAACGCTGGTGAGTTCGTCCCAGAGCGCTGGGCAGATGGTCGGCCGCAGCCGCCCCCTGGAGTCTACATGCCTTTCGGAGATGGACCCAGATACTGCATTGGTATGTATTGCTTCATCAATTTCTTACCAGTGATAGTTTACTCGTATGGGCCAATTATTTATTTAATACTAATAATATAGGGTCAAGGAAAAAGTACGTGGCGTTTTTTCATTTATTTATTTACACATTTTTCTCATATTTTAATTAAACTTTATTAAACTATATATATGCTGTTTTGATTGATCACCTTTTGTCATTATTCTGGTAAAACAATTATGACATCAGTGCAACTTCTGGCATTTCTGGGCGAAAAACAAGTGATTTTCACAGGCCTCTTTTGAAGTCAGCTTCACACCGTTAAGAGAGTTCTGTACAGAGCGAAACAAATGGTAGTGGAACGAGGCTAGGTCCGACCTGTATGATGAATGCTTAGAATAATAACGCATAGAAACCTAGTCCGCACACGCTAAGTGAGGTAAATTGAAGCGCGCCAAAAGGGTCTACACGGGCGGGCCTTCAGTGGTCAAGGTCAACTTGCACCGCGAACAGATCAAGAATTTTAGCTAAAAATGACGATATGTGCGGTAAATTTTTTTTTTTTTTTTTATACATGACAGGCAAATGACTCCACTCCACCAATGAATGTAAAAATACGTCAGACAAACATAAAATAGATACTAACATCACATTCCACAAGGAAGTAACGCGTTTCAACTTGTATTCTTATATAAATATTCACTAAAACCGAAAATTAACCTACTACTAAAACTAGCCTACATGAATTTGATTTTTGTCTCACTTGTGACAGTTCGTTTGATATGAAACTCATTCTATGCGTTATTATTCTAAGGATGAATGCATCAAAACTTCCCAGCCAAGCTCTGTCAATTTTTGCCAAATTATTAAAGATGTGTGTGGTCTGACATTGTCTTGATGGAAAATAACACCTTTCCTGTGGGCCAACTCTGGCCGCTTTACTTCAATTGCGCTCTTTAATTGTATCAGTTATTGACAGTAACGAGTGGAAGCAATGGTCTGACCAGGTTGTAGAAGCTCATAATGCACGATTTCCTCCCAATTCCACCAAACACAAACCATTATCTTGCGTGGCGTCAATCCGGGTTGTATCACCGGGCTTTTGTGCAGCTTCTTCCAGGTTGGAGAAAATTTTTTTTGCACATTTTTGTCATGTGTCGCCCATTTTTACATTGCCCGTTATCAATCTCTTCAAAAATGGCTCAATTTTGTTTCGTTTCAGCAGTGATTCGCAGATGTCAATTCAGTCCATAAAATTTATCACTGTTAATTCAAGAGGTACTAAAATATCGAGCTTCTTTTTGGTATCCAGCTTTATGCAAATGTCGTAAAACTCTTTTTTGGTTAATGTTTAGTTCTGCAGCGATGTCATAAGATGAAATGTGCCGGTCTTCTTGAATTGTTTGAGGGATTTCATCGACTTTTTCAACAATTGGTTCGTTGACAAGAGCACGGCGCGTCTTTAGCAGTGAAATGTGCAGAACGAAAACGAGCAACCCATTTGTGAGCTACTGATTTTGATAAAGCATCTTCACCATAAACACCACAACTTTTTTCACAAGTCTGCGAAGCCTTGCCGATCTGATCAAAGTAATATTGTATAATACAGCGATTTTTTCTGAATATTAGCTCATATTTAAAACGTTATTACTTTTGCGTTGAATTGGTAAATGTCACTATTATTGAGTATAATCTACAGACACTCACTTTTTAAATGCTGTATAATATAGCTTGATAGGATCAGTATTAATGAAGTTATACGATTCTAAAGTCAACTATTGGTAAAAACGCCACGAACTTTTTCCGTGACCTTATATAATAATAATAATAATTCTTTATTTCGGACCATTAAAAATATCCATAGTATGTTAGTACGAGAATTTAAAAATAACGTTAGTATAATATAATGTAGACTTAATTTATAACTGCACTATAAATTGTGCTACGCCCTTAATTTGCTCTATCCAGAATTTTACAATTGGACAGTCAAATCTTCCCGCCATTGCACTTTGAAAACTGTTGGGTGTTTGCCTCACGCGACTCAACAGCGAGACAATCTTTTTCCATGTTACGGCCTGGAAGCTGTCCGTGCGAGCTTCCGCAAACATGGCCGAGGCACTGCACTAGCTTGGCAGTCCCATCAGTACTGCACGGGCTGCTCGAGTAGAAAGATTGGCTGTATGCTTTAAATAATGAGCATCGAGCAAACCTGCGGACAAGCATGTTACTCCGAACCGGTAACGCCCTACGCTCCCTTTCGATATCCTGATCGTTAGCGGTATACGGAAAAACTTAGTTAAGTTTATGTTATACTGGAATGTTTTTTTTAGTGCTTTAAATGTAATAAATAAATAAATAAAAAAAACACAAACAAATAAGCTAACAAATAATTTAATGAGCCCAAACGCAGAACAATCTCGTTTGGGCTGTAATAGTTGATTCCGTTTGCAGCATCGATCGGATCAAGGTTTAGAGCAGTAGAGCTGCTTGATAAAGAGTTCGTTCAGGGAAGTAGGTACACCTTATCTATTTCTGCTGCCAAGTAATGTCAGCATTTGCGTTTCGGTTTTAAAAGATGAGGCACAGGCACATTTGGGACTCGTCAATTTATGTCTCACGGTGACGGGTCACGCGGTGACACTGCCCCGGAAATCTTTGTAATTTAAAGCTCTGAGTATTACTGCAACATTTTTTTTATAACGGGACGAAAATGACGGGACAAACAAGTCGTGCGCCTGGTGGTTGGCGACACGCCTATCCGTAACAGTTGCAGTGCAGATCACTCGTGAGAATTAATAAAAATAATTGCATCCTAGCATAAATAGAATCTCGTACAAACATGGATCCTGTTAGGGTGTTGCAATCTATTATGCGTTGACTACTCTATGGGCATCATCAAATTAGACGCTTGTAGAAGTACAGCAGTGGCACGAATTGTGACATGTAGACATGTGGAAAAGCGTTACATTGCTATTACCTTAGAATAATAACGCATAGAATGATAGTTTCATATCAAACGAACTGTCACAAGTGAGGCAAAAATCAAATTCATGTAGGCTAGTTTTAGTAGTAGGTTAATTTTCGGTTTTAGTGAATATTTATATAAAAATACAAGTTGAAAAGCGTTACTTCCTTGTGGAATGTGATGTTAGTATCTATTTTATGTTTGTCTGACGTATTTTTACACTTATTTACCGCACATTTCGTCATTTTTAGCTAAAATTCTTGATCTGTTCGCGGTGCAAGTTGACCTTGAGCACTGAAGGCCCGCCCGCTCGTGTAGGCCCTTTTGGCGCACTTCAATTTGCCTCACTTAGCGTGTGCGGACTAGGTTTCTATGCGTTATTATTCTAAGGCTATTACCTATCTGACTGTCGTGACTATCGTTCAAGAACAAAAAAAAAAAGTTCGTTCCAGTTACAGAATCGCCGTGACAAATCACCGTGATTTTGTCACGCCTCTCACTTACATTACGATACATACTTTCTAATAGTCGTTATTATTAGTAACTTTGAAGTATAGGTTTAGTTGTATTTGAAAAATAGTTTTCTCTATAACCTTCACAGTTTTACAGGCTTGTCGCTTTATGACCAAATTAATTATAGTACTTTACTGCAGAGGCCGGGAAGTAAGGGATTGCCGGACGAGTATGAGTTACAAGGCCCAGCGCTAGCGACGCCTTGTATTAATACGAGTCAAGCAATCCCCGTTCCCGCCGAGGTTTGTATAGCGCTTTTCTCAAACAACGTGAAGAAATACTAAAAGACCAAAGAGAGGAGGATGTGTAATAAAAAAAGTAAAAAAAAACTTTAAAATTAATATTTCACATGTTAGGATAATTTGCTAAAAGAATATGTTGTTATTTTTCCAGATACATATTAGTAGTCTATAGAAGTCTTCTGAACTTCTGAAGCAGACTACTATAGTGTATGAAAGTTTCATAAGTTTCATGTATCTTACCAGCAACAAGTTTTTCCATGGCTAATATTACCTCTTGTTTTAAATCGGAGCGCAATCAATTACTATATTTCCGTTATCGCTCTTTTCACTAAAACTATTTTTCGACGAAAATACAAAAAAGACCAAAAAGCAGAAAAGAATACCAAAGTAAATACTTTAGTTTATTTTACCGCCTTTATTTAAAAAAAAGTGAGCAATACAGGTAAGTATTTTTAATTCTCGCAATTACGAACACTGGGCAGTTGGCTGTATGAATTTTTCTTTTGCCTGTTTACGTAGTTCATTATTAATGAACTGTTAAAAGTTTAGAGAAGAGGACTGGGTAAGTAATGGATTTTCATACTTACTTTGCAGGCGATTCGCTCTGGAACTTTTGGAGGGAAAAGTGTCGTTTTTATTTTGACTTTCAATTATTTTGTAAAATATAGTTTAAAGTGGAATAGGATACTGCTATTGTGCCTTAATCGAAGATTAAAACGCGAAATTATACGAATCTCGAACTAAAATACCCGTATCGGCCATTTTTAAGGAATCCTGAGTCAATCCAAGCACGCCGCCTCAAATTGCCTATCCTCTTTGTGGCGGCCATATTTACAGAAACATAATTAAACTTCATGTTTAGGCTGATGGGTTTGCCAAAGCCTTAATAAATTAAAAAAAAATGACATAAACGACAAACTTTCCGTGTACATTTTTTGAAAGTAATGCAAACATTTCAGAGCATGTTTGAGAAAATAAATTATTCGATAATGACCACGCGGCGTGTATATTATTTTGGATCAATTTTGTACAATTGTCTTATTTGTATTTACAATATTTAACATGGAATTTACACTGATCTTATTATTTCTTGGTTCATAATTAGAAGGTATTATTATTTCTTGGTTTAGAATTAGTAGGGCTAGCACAATGGGGCGCGACTTGTGCGAGAGCGACATACAGCGCGGGGGCCGCGTTTGTTCTGTTGTACTAGTCTTACAGAAAGCAGATCGAGCGTGATTTTGTTTGTAAAATGTCGTATGTCGTGATGTGAGTGACGGACTTAGAGGATGGAAAAAATAAAG